GCTATTTGTTTTAAATTAAGTAAATCAACAAGATATTTAACACCCTAGAGAAATTCACTTGATTTCGAAATAATCTTTTCAAAAAAAAACCAGACCTCTTCGAGTTTCGATCCATTTAATGGTTGTCCATTTGAATCATAAACAGTAGCATTAACTTCATTACCATTGGGTGCCTAAAATAAGATATTCTTTCATATTTATCTATCAAATATTTGATTTTAACCTGAATTATAGAATTAGTTAAACTATCTATTTGTTGAGGAACACATCGACCAAACAATGGTTTACTAGCTATTATATATGATGCACACTTTCCATCTCTAACTAGTTGTTCATTATCATTGTCATATTGAGTTACATCATATGTACAAATTCTATTCACATTATAATCTTCAAATTTATAATAAGATGTTCTATTTGGACATTGTTGAACACAAACTTGTTTTGTAGGACAAACAAACGGACGATCTTGTAAAACACTAGTAGGTACATTAAGTAACTTTATACATTTTGTCCAATCAAAGAAATAAACATATGGTCGATTGGCATATTCCCCCGTACCACAAATATTACCTTCACTATCAGTTGGATATAATAATTGTCTTGGATCGCCTATGTATTTCATAGAAACATTGATAGAAAATTTATATAAATAAATACCTTCTTTGAAAGCAAAAATACTCAAGACAATAAAACAGATGATAAATATAAGAAACAGGATACAACATGGGATATCTAAATACATACATCTTTTTAAGATTAATTCAACAATATATTTTTTTCTTTATTAACCAGTGCAAGATTTTTTTCGTCGAAGAGCTTGTTTTGGTGATTCAATTTGAGCCTCTTTATCCGAAGCATCCGATATTTGGTTTGATGCCCTTTTTCGATATCTAATATATTAATCAAATTTTTTTCTTCATTTATTAAAATCTCTTTTTTATAAATGTAAAAACTAAATACCTTTCTTGAGTCTTTGGATGTTTCGACATAATAATTTCGTTTCTATCTATTCGTTACGTAGATAGGATGCTCTAAAACAACAATCTCATCTTAAAAAAAGACAAGAGCAAAAGTGAGCTTGCATCATATCTACAAAATACACACTGTTGCTAACGATGTATAATACTTTCGAACGTCCCTCTCACATATTCAAGGGATTTTTTTTATCAGACGATATAAAAGATAAGGAAGAAAAAGCGTATAAAAATGTGACATGAAATAAAAAGATCTTTTACTCTTCTTGTTAAAAAAACGGAAGAATGATAAGATCTTCATACTGAGAATAACGAAAAAATATTATATGTCTGATTCTAATTTATAGTGGTATTAGTTTTAAATTTTATTGAGTAACATGAATATGCAACAAAAAAAAAACAATATTGAGAGATTTTTTTAAAACAGTTATTCAACTAATATGTATAATAGATCTTATCGAAAATTATTCGTTAAACTTATAAAGAACTATCGCATTAGGGTGGGTGTGGGTGTGAGTGTTGCCTCTACTAATGCTGACATTAACACTCAGATCCAGACCAGACTCACACCCACATGTTTCACTAAAAATACTGCGTGTCTGCGTTTTTTTTGATTCAAATTCATTATAACACTGTAAACTCGTCTGTTGACGATAGAGGACATAAAAAGAGAAGAGACAAAGATCAGTATTTGCACAATATATCACTTGGATTCTTGAAAGAAAAGGACGTAGTAGAAGATAATAAGAAATAGAACAAAAAGGGACAATAAAAATAACGACGAACA